GAGCAGCCGCGGCGGCCAGGAGCCCTGCAGGGCAGCGTAGTGAGTTGGGGGCAACACCTTGGCCAGCAGCCCCCTGCCGCAAGCACGTACCACCAGCAAGTGCTGCTCTTCCGGAAGCAGAGAGGAGAGGGAGGGACCTGAAATGAAGCCATGCAGACACGTATTCCCACGTAAGCGGCACGCCGAGATGGAGCACAAACCCCTTAGCCCCGCGGGGAACTACAGAGCAGAACCCACCAGCTGCAGGGCAGCAGAGCCGTGGGGCAGAGCCTCCAGCTGCCACAGAAACCCTCCCTACAGGACAGCCGAAAGTGAGGGGGCTCAGTATCCGTTCCAACAGGATATAAACAGGAAAAGATGTCTTATAACCTCCAAAACCAGTCGCCTGCTTTTTTTTTTTAATTTTGCTTTTCAGACAGAACCAGATTGATCCATAAGAATGCTTTACAGATCCCTGGCCAAATGATTTCCCGTGCCGTCAAACAATAGCAGCCTCATGGTGCCAAACCAGCCTGCAATAAATAACCCCCAGGAACACCACAGCTTCCCCTGTGCCTGCATGCTCCCGTCGCGCCTTCCCCCTGCAGCCCTTCTGCTGCTCCTCAGCTGGTGCGCACCCGTGGGCTTATCTTCGGTTTCTAAATATAACAGGCACAGCAAGACAGAGAAGGCCTTACACAGGCATGCATGCCTGGTGCCAGCGGCAGCACTTACAGATCCTCGGGGAAAAGGAAAATAGGGGGCCTGGGGAAAAGGGAGAGCCATGTACATGGGTCCACAAGATGCAGAGAGCTGCAGGCTCTGTGCAGCCTTCAGCTCCTCGCGAGAACCACTGGGCAGAAAAGCAAAAGACCTAAACCACGGACAGAGATGTGGAAAATATGGGATGCTGTCTCGGGTTTTATCCAGCAGAGGAGTGGGCACGGGTGAGCGTGTGTTGAGCAGGGCAGTATGGGTCATCCACACACAGGGCCTGAGGTCTCCCCGGGCACAGCCGGAAGCCCAAAGGGAGGAGGTGCTCTCCTCCCGCTGGGACAAGCGCTGAGCCCACTACAAATCAGCCCCGCTAACACTGTCGCCGAGGCTTCCCCAAAATATTTGGGAAATGTTCGCCTAGGTGGGTCACACAGCACCCCCAGAGGAGGTGGCACAGGGGAAGCCTCCGCTTCCTGACGTCAGCCCGGCTCTGTGACAGGGCTCGGTAATATTTGCAATTATTTCTCCAATTTGTGTCCCCACGTCTCTAGCCCCAGGCTCTCTGCTTCCTACAGCTCTGCAATATGCTCAGCCGGGACCTAACTGCCATGTTTTTATTTGTCCTGTGCTCTGCACGCGTTTCCTTGTGGCAGTGCTCAGTCCCAGGGCCCTCCCAGCCACATGGCAGCAGCTACCCAACGCTAAAGGAAAAGAAGCCCATAGAAAGAAGCCCATATCTTCTTTTTAAGCACAACTGACAACCACTTCCTATGAATTCAGAAGCTGCAGTGACACATAATCCAACAACTATCTGCTCTTCATCTTCGTCACCCCCGTGCTGGAGTGACAGATGCCCTCAGGCACCCTGGGGAACAAGGGGAAGTCCCCTCCCCGGCGATGCTGGTGCCCACGAGAAGCCTGGAAGGATAATCACCATCACCAGCACCACCACCCCC